GGCTGTATATATTTGTCTTCATCACYTCAAGACATTTATTCACAAATTTACCTCAACAATAGTCAGTGTTTATACATGTTTATACATTCACAACAAAGTAAATTGCTTTCCTTAAGCAGATGAGTTCAGCTGGTGTCCAGTCTATCTAGCACAGATACCTAACTTGACTCTGAATTTCAGGACACTGATGAAGCAGTCCTCATCAGACAGGCATCTAACTTCTTTGATTAGTTAACAGAGAAAGGCATTTGCCTTTTTAGGCCCTCCAGAAGGAAGTCTGTCTGCCCAGGCTCGGGATCTTAAGAGGAGATTGTGCACTTGAAAGCCTTAGTTTCATCTAATTCAGTCAGTTGACCCAAAGATATTACTGCTTATTACAAAACTTGCCTAAGCTGTCAGGTACGTCAGCTGGGTGGGTAGGACATCCCTCTAGACACCTTAAAAAAATCTCCTACACATCTAGATAAGTGACATAGACCCCTACTTTTGAAGGAAAACTTCATTCAGTGCTTAAATTACRGATCCAAGTTAGGCAGAGAGGATACCCACTTCTGACTTTCATTTTAAAGTGCATTTTCTGTTTTTGTTTTGGTTCTTTCACCCTCAGCAAGTTCTAACCCTTCATCTATATGTACATGTGTGTGTCCATGTTGTCACATCCACAGTGTCTGTGTGGAGGACAGGCAGAGGGATGGCAGTACCCACTCCAGAACCAGTGGTCACTGGCTGATCAATTTGATCCCTCCTGTTCCAACCATAAAAGAAAATGATTTCCTCGGAGAAATTTATGTTCAAGAGCCTCTCCTCAGCCTTGGAGTTGCCCTGAGCTAGGGTACATAGGCTGTGCCAGTGCCCATACTCAGCAGGACATACACAAGGTGTGCACCATGCTGAGCATTTGGGGTACCTACCTGGCATGACCAGCCACCCAGGTGCGGTCAGGCAGCTAGTGACACAGTCCTTGGCTCTCAGCAGCAGGTCACTGCCACCTCACTACAGACACCACCACAGCTGGCCCCTACCCGCGTGGCTGGTGCTGTCCTGTACTCCAGGCCAACAGGAGCTGTATGTTGGTGCCATTTTCTAGGGATGCAACAGGATTTCATTTGTTCCCCAAAAGCCTCTCCTTGTGCTATTCAGGGAAGCAGTGTTTTAGCCCTTTTCCAAGCCAAGTCTAATCCATCCTGCTGCCCTGGCCAATACATTTGAGATAAGGAAAGAGCTAAGACTTGCTGTGACGCTGCTGCCAGTCAACCCGCTCTTCTTTTTGTGGCTCCAATACACACAGAAGACCTCGTGGGATAAGAGGGATCCCAGAAGCCTTTTCATCTTCCTCACACACAGTCTGGGTCTGTATGGCTCACACTGCTCATCCTTGGGTATCCAGGAACACAAGTGGCAACAGCTCTACCTCAAGCTGTCTTCATAAAGTCAGTTTACTAACCCTTTTGGCCTGAGAAATAACTGTAGAGCCAAATTGTGCATCTGCTCTGGGGATACCAGTCTATTCCCTTCATTCAAACTCTGGGAAGTTCAGGGTGACATTTCAAAATAATCAAAGGGCAGGACTTTGGGCTGAGGCCATTGAAGAGGAGCCAGGTCTAACCAAGATGATAGCAGCCAACTGTGGGCRAAGTCTGGAGCTGATTCCAGCGCTGAGTTCAGGGCCTTAGTTCAGCATCATCTCTCATCAGTTAAGCATAACGTCCCTAGCCAGAATGCATATTTCAGAGTGGAAAAAAACAGAAATAGTCAAAAAAAAATCCAAAGAAAGAATTTTCTCTAGCCAGCATGCATGACTTGAGGATGAGAACTGCCAGCTACATTCTTGTGACACCTAAATGCAAGGTGAAATTTCAGTTGTGTGCAGTGACTTTTCAGAGCTAGGCAGACAGGAGAGATATGAGCCCTGCCAAGGGATAGAAAGCCAATACCTGATGAGCAGGGTGCATAACCACTCACTAAGACAAGCGTATCACCGTGTGTAGCCATTTTTGGTGTTTATTGAGGCAAAACTCCTGGGGCTGGTAAAGGGACATTCTCCTTGATAGGAAAGGAATAGCATGTTTTGGAGACTTGACCCTGGCAGTCCTCTTTCCTTTTCTTTCTCTTCCCTTATCTTCCCTCTTTCCTCTTTCTTCTTTTCTCTTCTCCGCTCTCCTCTCTTCTCTCTTCTCCTCTCTTCTCTCCTCACTTCCATTTTTTATAATTCAATTCAGATCCAAATGCCAAAGGTATTTTCTTTTACTGGGGCTGATTTAGGGACCACAGTATCATCCAAGTCCTCCTACAAGGCTGCTTCCCGTGCCATACCAGCATTGCTGCATTATGGAGCCTGCCATGAACCACTGAATGGACACACAGCAACCAGCAGTAGTTGCTCTTTTTTTATTTATTTAATTTTCAATAGYCAAAGCAGAGCAGCTCTTGGTCTGTTACTCCCCATGCCTTCTAACTTTTTGGGATGTCATCAGATTAGAGCAGTCACTGCTCCAGAGTCCCTCCAAGGCAATGGAAAGGCTCCTGGAGGACCTTGGCCGGCAAAGCCAAGGAGGCTGGGGGGGATGAGGGAGAGGCTGGTGCTAACGAAAGCATCCTGGTTGGCAGCAAATGTATTTATTTTCCAGACTTTGCAAACCGATCTGTGTCTGCTCTCATTCATTCAGTGCATGCCCTCTTCAACAGCCGCTGCATAATGTTCCGTTACTGTTCACTGTTGACCGTGTGTCTACATTTAAGTGTGTGTTTTACGTGTGTGTCTCTGGCTAGGCCTTCTCCATCCTTTTTTTTCTTTTTTATTTTCTTTCTTTCTTTTCCTCCTTCCCTTCTTTCTTTCTGTTTGGTTTGGTTGTTTTGCTTTCCTCCTCGTTTCATTTCCTATAGTTTAATGGCGAATATATTCATTAGAGCTTTTTGACTGATGCTGTGTTTGTAACTTTTTTATTATTTTTATATATATCTTCTTTCCCCACCTTTCCCTTTTTCCACACTATATATAAATATATATATATATATATAAAAAAAATCTTTTCTTCTTTTGTCATTCAATCAAATTCCAACAAAACCAACCAAGAGCCAGTCAAATCCACCACAGTCTCGCGCTGAGCTAGGAAAAAAGTTCACGTAATGACATGAAAGTGGAGAATACAGTCCCCCAGGCCGTAAGTTCCAATCAACTCGAAGTTGAAAGTGTGACATGATGGCGTCATGTAACAAGCTAAGAATTGGTTGCATGACATGCCGTCAAGTTTCGTGCAGGTGCCGTGATTGAAGCATTTTTCTTGGATGTTGTATCAGTTGATGATTGGCCAGTCATGATCACATGTGCCTTTTTTGACTTTGTGCTGCCACAATTTTTTGCTGTGCTCATTTTCGTTTCGTTTTTGGTGCTTGCAGTGGTTTCTTTATTTGTCGTTTGATTTCTCGTCAGCGTTTTATGCTTCTTTAGATGTCACATAGAAGGAAAAAAAAAAAGATGGATTCCTAATTCCTTAGACAAAAAAAAATGGGATTGTTATAACTGTACAGATAATTTGGAAAAAAAGAGAGAGAAAAAAATGTGTGGTTAATTTTTTTGCACTGAAAATCTTGTGATTTTATTTTTTTTCTGGAGAATTGGGGGCCTTTTTCAATTGACACCGTTTTTTTGCCCTTAGGATATTTCAAATCACTCTCCAAAAATTAAAAAACAAAAACAAAAATAGTAATGATAGTAACAGTAGCTTGAAAACTATATTATAGCAATCCAAAAAAGCAACCCCAAGAAAAGCCTCATTTTATGCCTTTTCAAGAATTCCTAATTCTAAGGTTCTGTATTACAGCTATTCCAGCCAAAATTAATTGTTCAAGGGGAGGGAGGGATTGTTTTGAGTGGGAAAAAAAAATCCTATCCAGATCAAAAAGCAAAATGCATCTTTTTGTTTACAACTGAAAAAGGGTCCTTGACGAGTGTTTTTTTATTWTTTTATTCTATTATTATTTTTGGTGTTGTAATTGTTTAGACTGCTGTGTACGGTTTGCTGTTTGTTGAACCAACAGTGTGAAAACCTGCCAGCATGGATTGATATTCCGCATGACACTTTTCCACCAGAGTGGACCTTTTGCAGTTTCTAAGTTTCTTGATGTAATAAATCACCGAGTGYATAAGAAGAACCTGCTTGCTAGAAAGAGATAAGAGCTAATCCTTAATGATTAAGCATCCTACTTAAATGTCAAGCCTAGTCGGATCATGATTACATTTTTTTAAATAACTTTTTTATTTAAGAAATGTTAGCTTTACTTCTTTTTTTTGCAAAAAAAAAAGTTTATTCTGACAGCCTTTTTTATTTTATTTAACCTCCTATAAATTGCCTGTTCAAAGCTTGATTTCCTGACATTCACAAAGGAGTAGATGTTATTGGCAGCTCTGTCTCCACAGAAAGCTCATACACTGTCATAGATGGYGCCCCATTAAAATGTAGAATAATTCTTTCTCAATGCCTTTCACATGACAAAAACCCACCAAGCAAGACTGTGATCTGGCATTGTAAAGTTGCACTCAAAAATAAYTTAAAATGTAGCTATCCATCCATACATAGTGATATGCAGCTATATAGACATACATCACTACTAATTTGATTTTTATTGTTCCAATTATTGGGAACAACTGCATTTTTTCTCTATCATGATCGTGACTACCTTGCTCACTTTGGGTTTGATCCAGTTCTCACTGAAGTCAAGGGGAGTCTTTCTGTTGACATGAGTGGGAGCAGAATCAGAGCCAATACCTTGAAAAAAAAAAACCCCAAAACACCCAACCAGCAGCCCCATCCTGTCCCAATTGAAGGGGAGGAGACAGCACCCATTTACTTTCAACAGGAGCAGGATTGGGCGCAAAAGAACAGGCTTGTTTTTAATTATGTTTCATTTTTTAGGTCTTCCCCACCCCCAAGTTACCCCTCCTTCCCTACTTCCCCCTCCCCTTTTTGATTTAATTTGCAATGATCTTCTTCATTTTTTAGGGCAGCAGCTGAATGGGCCACATTTAGAAAATTTAAAAAAAAAAAAAAAGTATATATATATTTAAAAAAAACGGGAACTGTTGGATTACACCTTTGACATATCAGCAAATATCAATCAAGCTGAAGACTTCAGACTTATTCTCTCTTTGATTGTTTAGACTGTAACATTTCTTCAAGAAAAGTATCACATCTGCTGACTTCGAAGGAACATGCGCTTGAAACAAACAAACAAACACATAAGTAAAATCCAGAGCAGGAACCAGATCAACCAGGATTTCTGAAGAGACACTGATATCACCACAGCGGCTTTTCTTCAAACAGGAGATGCAAACCTGGATGCTGACAAAGGAGTGCCTGTTTGCCACCAAGGATGCGGTTACCATGCGTGACCCATGGTAACAGTCACTGAGCATCTTTATCTGTCATTCCTTAGCTATATAGGGACCAAAGGACAAAACTTTTTACCGCAGACTTGTAGCTGTATGTAAAATATGGAAGTTCTTTCCTTTTCTCTGAGCTGTTCCTAAAACAGTTTTTGAGAGCGATTATATGAAATATGTAAAAATTAAAAAAAAAATGCTTAAATGCTTTTAAAACGGCAAGATAATAGTTCTTTGATACTTTGGGAGGTTCTTTGGTTATACATTAATTAGAGTCTATGAAGCTTTCATATGGTTTTCTGTATAATACGTAAGGATTGCGCTGTTAAAGGCAGGTAAGATGGATATCTATGAAAAGCAAAAAAAAAAGAAGTAAATAAATAAATACATAAATAAATACATAAAAAGGCATAGAGAAGAGAAAGGAAAGATGGTTGATATTAAAGTGGAAACAAAAAGGGTTTGTAAATGCTTCTAACTCTCCCCATTTAAAATCCTAATAGTTGTACAGAATTTAAAAAAAGAAAGTTTAAAATACCTATATAATAGAAAAAATTAGACAACATAAAAAAAAAGAAAAAAGCAAAAAAAAATAATACTACATAGAAGTTAGCGTTAATGCTAAAAACAAAGATGTTGTAGAACTGTAATTTTTGTAGAGTTTAGATTGAGCATAAATTCCTACTCTCTGCCAATTGCTGTTGGATGCTGTTATTTATCGAGGAGAAAAAGGAGAGAAATGGCTATTTTGGCAGCTTTTTTAACTGCAAGCATTCCAGCTATTAAAAAAAATAAACAAAACAAAACTCGATTCTGTAGACAATGCAAATGGGAAACAAAACAGCTGTCTTTTTATCAGACGTTAGTTCTAACTTGAACAACAAAACACAGCTAAACGCTTCATGTCTTCATGATCTGCTGTCCGCAAAATTCCCACCATCCTATGCTTCAGTAGCTTCCATATTTGCTCTAGAAACCTTCAGGGCAAGGGGTTAGCCTAGAACCTTAATCTTAAAAAAGAAAAAAAAAATAACATAAAAAAATAAAAACAAAAAATAACATAAAAAACAATCTCTTTGAAGAATTTCTGAAACTGTTTACAAGGAATTTTGAAAAACAGGGGGATGTTTAAAAAAAAAAGATGCTGGCTCTGTTTTTCTGTAAATAAATTTGCATATTTTGTAGGACTTTTAATTGTAATGATAGAGAAAAAAACAAGGAAAACTATTTAATGAAAGCACGATATTTATCTTTGGTAAATGACTTTAGAGCAGTTAAAAAATAAGACATTGCTTTAAAAAATCTGACTCAGAAAAAAACAATGAATTATTTAAGAACACATATATTTTAAAGTATATCATATTTATTATAATTTATTTTCACAGTCTTAAAACTTGATTTACAGCATTCTCACACTTGTTTGCATTGACTGAGCGGTGTGATAATTGTTTCTGATTATTTACTTTTACTCTGTTTTAATGCTTCTGTTTTTTTCTTGGTATTTTTATCTTGATCTTGAACTTCCTTCTTTTTTTTTTCTTTTGTTGTTGTTTTATTTCCTTTTGTTTTGTTTTGTTTAATTCCCTATTGGGCCTGATCTTACAGTCCTTACTCTGGCAGGACTCCCACTGGGTTGTAGTGGGTGTTTTGCCCGAGTAAGGACAGCCAGACTGAGCCCACAGCTAGGACATACAGATGTGTAACGCAGCTGCAGTTCCATACAACTGCTCTTTCACTCTCAATTCCCTAAAACTCCTTGTAATCTTCTGTAATTATTGAATGACGCTTTCCAGCTTAGCCCTAAATAAAGCACAGTTTAAAAAAAAAAATGCCATGGTCTTTACTTCTTGATGACTTTCCTTAATGTGTTTGCTTTGAGAACAAAATGAATCCATTTCGACTCTTTCATTAATATACATTGTTTGAGTATCAGAACAAATCCCTTTGTTATATAAAACATATCTCATTGGATTGAATTAATGACACTGTTTCATTTAATGTCTGCTTGATATTCCACTGTGGTTTACCTTAAACCTGGTAGGTTAGAAGATCAAATAACGGTACATACAAATTAGAGTCACTGTAGCTCCCATTTGAAGCCTGTTGTTTGATTTCACGCTCATGGTTTTTTCATGCTGATAAGTATAGAGGCCAAAGCTCAGGACATTGCTCCTTTTGCTGCTTTGGGACAACTTTGTGAAATTCAGCAGTCTCCAGAGATGAGGTTCGATTTCTTCCTGAGCATCCAGCACATCTAGTCTTTTGAATGATTTTTTTTTTCCCCAAAATGGCAGTACAAGATCAGCCGAGCTGAGCGTGGGGCTGAAATCAGGAGACTTTGTGTTTTCTTCCTGATTCTCACTCGAGCCTCTGCATTTGGACAAGCTGCACCAACTAAATCCATCTCTAAATGGGACTAATGGTGCTTGTCCACAGTGTGAACTCTACAGTGGAAGGAGTTCTATTAGTAGAAACTCCTATTATTCCTATTACGAGTTACTAATGTCTGTTCAGGGCTATAGAAATAAATGAAATGTAAATCAGGTGAAGAACACAAGGAGAGAATATGGTCAGAATTTTCTTTTTATCTGAAGGTAAAAGCAAACACAGAAGAGCACATACATCAACCTCCTCTCTGCCTTCACCACAGAAGATAGTTTGTAGAAGGCTGAGCAGACTAAAGATGTAAGAAGTAGCTCCAAATATTAGAGCTAGAAAAATGAGGACTAGGTTTCCGGAAGCTGCAAAAAAAAAGCTGCAAAACTCATGCAGCTGCCTGCATCGAGCTGCTGAGACACAGGGGACAAATAGAGACATATCCTTCACTCTAGGGCTTACCCCTTGGAGCAACCACTCATCGCCCAACATGGACCAGTTGGAGAATTAAGARGGACTATTGAAGATCATCCAAATCCCTTCCAATAGGAAAACAAACAAACAAAACCAAAACACAACAAGCAGGGAAGGCTTGATCTCCCACAGTCAGCTGTGGCACACCAAAGGGAGCACTCAAAGAACTCGCCCATTTCCTTCCCTCAAGCACMCCGGGGCCCTTCCTTCTCTCAGCTCAAGGCAGGAGCTGCTTTCTGCAGTGCCATTGGGACTGGGACTTACKTCCCAGTTTCGCTGTGAGGACATGGCCACAGTGTGGGTAGGCAGCTGCATCGCTAGCATTCCAGCTGGCTRCATCTCCAACCACTGAGGCAAGACTGGGGGCTGTTGGACAACTATGAGACAAGATTTCAAAGTTTTGTCTTATATATGCTCAATACACAGGGGCTCAAATCTCCAATGCTGGAGAGCAGCCACCTCCTGAGGGGAGGTCAGCAGTTACTAAAGCTGTTCACGTGGATCCAGTCCGTGCACACTTGACTCCCCAGGGACACAGCTGGGGTACTGAAGTGGGGAATCCAGCTRCCACGAGCAGCAGAGACCTTGGGTGAAGCATGGAAGGACCATACATGGGCCACAATCTTCTCCCAGTACACCCTCCATGCCTTAGATTGTGTGGGGCAAAATAGACTTCCAAGCCCACTCTCGAAGAAAGGGTCAGGCCCCGCAGCACAGTCCTGCTGGAGGTTGATTTACACTGGTGTGGACGGGAATAAAGCACTGCTGTGGTTGTTTTGGTGCTGGTACCTGAGCTAAGTGGTGTTTACTTGCTGCATTCACCTCTGGTTATGGTGGAGACATKCCAAAGTGGGATGGGCCGAAGCACAAATATAGGCAGGGACTTACACTTGATTTACACTTTCAAACATACTGACTCTGTGTGTCACCTGGAGGCCCCAGGCTTTTTCCTGAGGAAGTTCGTCCCTTAACACTATAGGTGCCGCAATGCAAAATAGCTTTGTGGTGTGTTTAGCAACAGACTAATCTATATCTGCCTAAATATAGTATATACCCTATATCTGTGAGGCTGGAAAGACGCAAAAGAAAAGCCGCGGCCTGAAGCAACAAAAATGAAGACAGAGGCCAAGCCAACCTGAAGGACTGTAACTGCCTGCCCCTATTTTCCAGGATAGAGCAGTCCAGGGAACATACTATTACAGAGGTTCAAAAGCCACTGGCTATTTCATGCTGACTCCTCTCTCTCATTTGTAGCTGCTATATCACATTATATGAAACTAAAGGTTTATTAAAGGTCAAACATCCATCTTTTGCCAAGGTGCTCTTTGGCACCAGGGTGATTACAACAGGCTGCAATCCCATCCCCACCACATAGTTGGGGGCAACCTTCAGCACAAGTACAAGGCATGGTTCATTGTCACACTTTCGAGAGTCCCATGAAGACACTTCAACCACTAATCACACTTCTGTGTCTCTAAGACAAGAGTAAAAGCCCTTGGTGGGGTCAGGTTTCCACAGTAGCATTTCTTGACACTGCCACAGAGCCACTCTTCCTCTGCACACACAAGACGAGACAATTCACCTCCTCACTGCATCTCTGCTCCAGGCAGCTGCCAGTAAGACAACCCATTTATTAAGAAGATCTGGGCTTTAAATGARTCTAGACTCTGCCCGTTGTGCATTCATGTAATTAACACCGTGCCATTTGGCCACAATCATGCCGACAGCAGAACTCAGTTACCCAAACACCCAGATTTGGTATGAATGGCAAAAGTTTTCAACAGGCTTTTGTAAACATCCTCCTGAAACAAGGTGATGACTTTTTCCCCTTGAATACTCTGGCTTTCTTTCCAAAAGTGCTTTTGCCCTTGTCCCTAATAGACCATGGCATRACTGCTCCATTGGTCTAGGAGCTTGCCAAGTATTTGTGCTTGTGGCCCTTCACCCATCACGACGTTTTCTCAAATGGGGAAAGGTGTCATTCCATGCTTCACCGAGATAGGCAAATGCACTCCAAGCACCTTGAACAAACTGGTGCACAGCATGGTTAAGAGAAGGAAGCCTCTGATACTGTTGTCTGTGTAGGCTTCTAAACAAATACATTTTGAGAATAACTGGCATGTCCTAACACAACAGAGACAGTGAAATATTAGAAGGCCGCTATCTCAGGTTAGCCACCTGTACATCTGTGAGTGCTTTTTGGAATGGCACTGCCTTCCTACTCGCCCTGGAAAACACCCTTAATTCTGATTTCAGCTCCATAACTTGCCTCTCAGCATGCTAAGCACTCGCAGCTGATCAAACACATGCAAAATAAAACTATTTGGAAGATACCAAATCAGACCCCCTGGGCTCTGTTTATTAATTGAATAAGGATACTCTGTTGTCTCTTTACCTACTTGCAATCAAGACTAGTGTTATACAGGGCTTTATTAGTGGTCTCCTATCCCTCAACACACCCACATTGCTACAGAGGAACCAGTCTATCACCAGCACTGGTAAACACACAACTGGTTCTGTTGGCAAGAAATGGCTTGGTAGATGTCACCCACCGTGAAACTCATAAACCAGCTGTTTCCATCCTGAATCCTGATCTTCCGTGTGGCAAGGACCATGCCCAGCCAAGCACTGACTGAGGAAGGCGGTTCCTTGCATGCATAAATACAGGTAAGCATGTCCTTTCCCTGTAAGCTTCAGCTTCATGGAGCACTGCACACTTAAATGAGGTAAGGTAAACACAGGTTCAGATTCCTCCTCTGTCCGGTTGGATGCCGGGATTTGACCCATGGCCTCACCTAAGAGACCACAGCTCCCATAAACACAACACAGGAGAAAGGGACATGGACTGCCTCTGCCTCCCTGCTATTTCTTAATCTGTTCCTTAGGGCACTCTTCTTGAAAACAGGGATTGCTGGGTTCAGCGTATGCTTTCAGCTCTTGAAAAGGGAAGATGTGAACATGCAGATTTGACAAGTGGGTGGGTTAAGTCCCTTCAGAGGGAGATACAGCAAGACCCAAAGCTCATGATACACTCCAAATGGGAGCCTTTTCTTCTCAGTGAGACAGAGACCCTAACCTTTCCTCATCCTTTGAGCTGGTTCAAGACCAAATTGGTTTG